TTGCGTCAGCATATGCAGCGTCACCATTCGGTGGCCTGGGAAAACCGTGATAAAGATACGGCGGTTCTGCCTGCCCCAGCCCCCGCTCCATCACCCGCTCCGTTACTTGCTCCGTCACCCGACGTCGTCAATCACCCTCTATCAGCCAGTCAAGGCTCCAACACCTCTGCTGAGGGGAGTTGTCGCTCGTTGGCATCTTCTGCTCGTTCAGATGCTCCTTCTCCTGCTACTCCTCTTCTCGGATTCCGTCAACAGTCTTTCTTGGAATCCGTATCCAAGAGACAACAGTTTGCGAGCACGCACCCGACGGTGCAAAAGCTGAACGTCCTCCTGTCCAAGTTGCTGGTGCTGCAGTCCCTCCCTTTCCAACTGGTGGACTCAGCACCTTTCCGAGAAATGATGGCTTGTGCCGCGCCGCGGTGGAGAGTGCCAAGCCGTCATTTCTTTGCCCAAAAGGCAGTGCCAGCCCTGCATTCACATGTAGAAGAGATGGGTGGGCCAGTCTTTGAGCATGTCGGTCTCTACCAAAGTGCACGGCAGCGCCGACGTGTGGAGCTGTAACTACGGTCAGGGACAGTACATGTCATTTACGGCCCACTGGGTGAACGTGGTGCCGGCACAGCCGCACCAGCAAGTTGGACAGGTCACGACGCTTTTGCCTCCACGTTTGCACGTCCTTGGTCCAGCAAACATGTCCGCCTCTACCACCTCTTTTTCCGCCGTGTCCTCAGCCGCCACCCCCCCGTGCCAAGTCCCATTACCCGACCGGCATATCACATGTGCAGGGCGCAACGGTGTCACGCTGTGCTGCACCTGGTATGCCTTGGCGAACGTAGTCACACAGGGGAGGAACTTCTGAGTGTAATGAACAGAGAAATCGACAGATGGCTGTCTCCGCGCGCAAACTGAAAATCGGAACCATGTTGACCGACAACGGAAAGAACATGGTGTCTGCTCTGCGTCAAGGAAGGTTGTGCCATGCGCCATGCATGGCTCACGTGTTCAATCTGGTTGTCAAGCGGTTCCTAAAATCCACCATCCCACTGCAAGACATCCTTAAAATGTCACGTAAACTGTGCATGCATTTCAGCCATTCCTACACCGCAAAGAACACCCTCATTGAGCTGCAGCGGCAGAACGGAATTCCACAGCATCGCCTGATCTGCGACGTTGCAACAAGGTGGAATTCAACCCTACACATGTTAGACCGCCTTTACGAGCAGCGAAAGGCCATCACCGATTTCCTGATGTTACAAGCGGATAAAGGTACTCCCCTGTGTAACTTAGATGTCAGCCATTGGCAGCTCATGCGTGACACCTGCCGCTTGCTCAGGCCCTTTGAGGAGGCCACGCTATTCGTGAGTCGGCAGGACTATGGGATGAACGACGTCATTCCTCTGTTGCACGTCCTGGAACAAATGCTGTTAACAATGGCTGGTCAGGGTGCGGTAGACGTGGCGCACAGATCTCAACGCCACATGACCCCTGTGGGGAGCAGGACAGGAAGAAGAGGAGGAGGTAGAGGAGGACATTTGTGCTCAGGAATTATTGAGTGAAATGGGTGGTTTTTCCACTCAGCGGACAGGAGTGGAGGAGCAGGAGCATCTGGGAGAGGAGGAGGAGGAGGAGACAGAGGACCCAGACGCACCGTGGCAGTATGCTGTGGAGATGGAGGCAGGGAGTCCCTCGCATTCCTTGGCACAAATGGCCCATAGCATGCTCGGTTTCTTGCGTAGCGACAGCCGAATAATAACCATCAGACAGAGGGATGACTTTTGGCTGTCCACCTTGTTGGACCCTCGCTACCGGTCCAAAATGGTGCCCTTTTTCACACCTGCTGAGAGGGAGGCCAAAATTACGTACTATAAAAACCACCTATGTAGTCAGTTGGTCTCTGCCTTTGTGCGCCAACGTCCATCCTCAGACACTGTGGGCCCTGTGCGCTCGCGTTCCGCTGGCATGGCAGCAGGGGAGGGGTGGGGTGGTAGGAGCAGTGGCAGCTCCACCAGCAGCGGCTGCCTCAGTCTGCAGTCGATGATGAGTAGCTTTCTTCACCAGCGCAGTGAGGAAACTACTAACCAGCCGCAGCAGCAGCAGCAGCAGCAGCATCAGGTGGACCTAGAGCAGGAGCTCAAACAACAGGCTTGGGCCTACTTGGACAGCACCCTGCCAACCGAGGTAGACAATCCCCTTGACTACTGGGCAACGAAACTTGACCTTTGGGCCCCAACTAGCTGAATTTGCCCTTGAAAGGCTGTCATGCCCGGCCAGTAGCGTGGCATCTGAGCGCGTGTTTAGTGCGGCAGGAGGTATTGTAACTCTGCGGAGGACACGACTGTCCACCCAAAGTGTGGAGAGACTCACGTTTGTGAAAATGAATCAGGCGTGGATTAGTCTGGATTTCAAACCACCAGTTCCTGACACAACTGACTAAATCCGCCATGAATCATGCCCCTGCCATGTGCCACTTTCAGGTCTCCTCACACTGCTGTTGTGTTTGAATTTTTTGACATAGGGTGCTGCAAGATAACGGGCCTCCTATAGCTGCTGCCAGGCCCCTTATCTGCCATGGGCCCCTATATACCGCCTCCTCATGCTGCTGCTAGGTCCAGAGTCTCTCATGGGTCCCTGTACGGCCTCCCATTGCTGCTGTCTCCATCGCCACACTCTGCCATGTGCCACTTTCAGGTCTCCTCACACTGCTGGTGTGTTGAATTTTTTGACATAGGGTGCTGCAAGATAACGGGCCTCCTATAGCTGCTGCCAGGCCTCTTATCTGCCATGGGCCCCTATATACCGCCTCCTCATGCTGCTGCTAGGTCCAGAGTCTCTCATGGGTCCCTGTACGGCCTCCCATTGCTGCTGTCTCCATCGCCACACTCTGCCATGTGCCACTTTCAGGTCTCCTCACACTGCTGTTGTGTTGAATTTTTTTGACATAGGGTGCTGCAAGATAACGGGCCTCCTATAGCTGCTGCCAGGCCCCTTATCTGCCATGGGCCCCTATATACCGCCTCCTCATGCTGCTGCTAGGTCCAGAGTCTCTCATGGGTCCCTGTACGGCCTCCCATTGCTGCTGTCTCCATCGCCACACTCTGCCATGTGCCACTTTCAGGTCTCCTCACACTACTGGTGTGTTGAATTTTTTGACATAGGGTGCTGGCAGATTACAGGCCTCCCATTGCTGCTGCCAGGCACGTAATCTGCCATGGGCCCCCGTATACCGACTCCTCATGCTGTGACGTGCAACAAGGTGTAATTCAACCCTACATATGTTAGACCGCCTTTACGAACAGCTAAAGGCCATCACAGATTTCCTGATGTTAAAAGCGGATAAAGGTACTCCCCTGTGTAACTTAGATGTCAGCCATTGTCATCTCATGCGTGACACCTGCACTTGCTCAGGCCCTTTGAGGAGGCCACGCTATTCGTGAGTCGGCAGGACTATGGGATGAATGAGGTCAAATCGGGCCATGGGCCCCCGTACCGCCTGGTCACGCTGCTGCTGAGCCCACAGTGTGACCTGGGTCCCTGTACGGCCTCCCATTGCTTCCACTCTGCCATGTGCCACTTTGAAATCTCCTCACACTCCTGCGGTTGTCCATTTTGTCATAGGTTGCTGGCAGATTACAGGCCTCCCATAGGTGCCGCCAGGCCCCATATCGGCCATGGGCCCCCGTACCTCCTGGTCACGCTGTTCCTGAGCCCACAGTGTGACCTGGGTCCCTGTACGGCTCCCATTGCTTCCACTCTGCCATGTGCCACTTTGAAATCTCCTCACACTCCTGCGGTTGTCCATTTTGTCATAGGTTGCTGGCAGATTACAGGCCTCCCATAGGTGCCGCCAGGCCCCATATCGGCCATGGGCCCCCCGTACCTCCTGTCACGCTGCTGCTGAGCCCACAGTGTGACCTGGGTCCCTGTACGGCCTCCCATTGCTTCCACTCTGCCATGTGCCACTTTGAAATCTCCTCACACTCCTGCTGTTGTCCAGTTTTGTCATAGGTTGCTGGCAGATTACAGGACTTCTATTGATGCCGCCAGGCCCCATATCGGCCATGGGCCCCCGTACCTCCTGGTCACGCTGCTGCTGAGCCCACAGTGTGACCTGGGTCCCTGTACGGCCTCCCATTGCTTCCACTCTGCCATGTGCCACTTTGAAATCTCCTCACACTCCTGCGGTTGTCCATTTTGTCATAGGTTGCTGCTGCAGATTACAGGCCTTCTATTGATGCCGCCAGGCCCCATATCGGCCATGGGCCCCCGTACCTCTTGGTCACGCTGCTGCTGAGCCCCAGTGTGACCTGGGTCCCTGTACGGCCTCCCATTGCTGCTGCCAGGAGGCATGCAGGGTCGCAGCTTTGTCAGTGGAGGCAAACGGCCACGGAGTTAGAGCAGCAGCTCCACTGCAGCCTACCACCACAGCCAGTAGTGGTGCCGGTGTGCACGGAGGAAGTAGCAGTCAGCCAGTGAGGAGTAGCGGGTGCAAAGTTTTCCTACTCGGCGGTTGTGGCAAGTTTTCGTCAAGCCGCCCGAGGAAGTAAAACGTTAGCCTAATGTCGACTATGTGGCCAGAAAGTCAAGCGTGCGGCAGGGGGCCCCATGTTGGGACTACAGCGTTGCGTCAGCATATGCAGCGTCGCCATTCGGTGGCCTGTGAAAAACGTGATAAAGATACGGCGGTTCTGCCTGCCCCAGCCAGGGTTCCATTTTGTCATAGGGTGGCTGGGTGGCAGATTAGCGGCTTCCATAGGTGCCGCCAGCCCCATATCGGCCATGGGCCCCCGTACCTCCTGGTCACGCTGCTGCTGAGCCACAGTGTGACCTGGGTCCCTGTACGGCCTCCCATTGCTTCCACTCTGCCATGTGCCACTTTGAGGTCTCCTTACACTCCTGCGGTTTTCCATTTTGTCATAGGTTGCTGGCAGATTAGCGGCCTCCCATAGGTGCCGCCAGGCCCCATATCGGCCATGGGCCCCCGTACCGCCTGGTCACGCTGCTGCTGGGCCCACAGTGTGACCTGGGTCCCTGTACGGCCTCCCATTGCTTCCACTCTGCCATGTGCCACTTTGAAATCTCCTCACACTCCTGCGGTTGTCCATTTTGTCATAGGTTGCTGGCAGATTACAGGCCTCCCATAGGGTGCCGCCAGGCCCCATATCGGCCATGGGCCCCCGTACCTCCTGGTCACGCTGCTGCTGAGCCCACAGTGTGACCTGGGTCCCTGTACGGCCTCCCATTGCTTCCACTCTGCCATGTGCCACTTTGAAATCTCTTCACACTCCTGCGGTTGTCCATTTTGTGACCATAGGTTGCTGGCAGATTAGCGGCCTCCCATAGGTGCTGCCAGGCCCCATATCGGCCATGGGGCCCCGTACCTCCTGGTCACGCTGCTGCTGAGCCCACAGTGTGACCTGGGTCCCTGTACGGCCTCCCATTGCTTCCAACTCTGCCATGTGCCACTTTGAAATCTCCTCACACTCCTGCGGTTGTTAATTTTGTCATAGGTTGCTGGCAGATTACAGGCCTTCTATTGATGCCGCCAGGCCCCATATCGGCCATGGGCCCCCGTACCTCCTGGTCACGCTGCTGCTGGTCCCACAGTGTGGACCTGGGTCTCTGTACGGCCTCCCATTGCTTCCACTCTGCCATGTGCCACTTTGAAAACTCCTCACACTCCTGCGGTTTTTTTCCATTTTGTCATAGGTTGCTGGCAGATTAGCGGCCTCCCCATAGGTGCCGCCAGGCCCCATATCGGCCATGGGCCCCCGTACCTCCTGGTCACGCTGCTGCTGAGCCCACAGTGTGACCTGGGTCCCTGTACGGCCTCCCATTGCTTCCACTCTGCCATGTGCCACTTGAAATCTCCTCACACTCCTGCGGTTGTCCATTTTGTCATAGGTTGCTGGCAGATTACAGGCCTTCCATAGGTGCCACCAAGCCCCAAATCGGCCATGGGCCCCCGTACCGCCTGGTCACGCTGCTGCTGGTCCCACAGTGTGACCTGGGTCCCTGTGTACCGCCTCCCATTGCTCCCACTCTGCCATTGTGCCACTTTCAGGTCTCCTCACGCTCCTGCTGGTTTCCATTTTGTCATAGGTTGCTGTATGGCCTCCCATTGCTGCTGGCTCCACCGCCACCACTGTGGCTCCAAACACTGGTTTTGGCCCCGTGACTGGCCAAAGGAGTGAAGTGTGCAGTGATTCTAAGATCGACGGCACTCATCTGCATGTCATACTGACTGACAGTATTATTTCTCTTCCCCAGCAGACTCCAAGGGCATTTAAATTAAAGGTACAGTGTTCTGCACTAATATTAAGTCTCTCTGAAGCCTAGAAACACCCTTTTTTAAGTTAAATTCACAGCGAATTTATTCGACTCGAATCGAATATTGTCCACGAATTCGCCGAATCAGTCGAATCGAATTTTTCATTTCTTCGCTCATCTCTAATTGTCACCAAAAACGACTCATTCCCTTTTATGGGGTGTCCCTTTTTCTGATCATCTTTTAGAACGTGGGCTTTCTATGACCAAAACCACTAAAACGTTCTTTTGGGGGGGGAACAGAAGGTGAAATCTTTATCGTAGGATTTTTGGAAACCCCCAAGAGGGCAACAAGTCAAAAATCTCACCCCCAAAAATTTGATCCCTTGAGAACTCGATTGGATATACAAAAACTTTGCCAGGAGG